AGAGAGAGAGAGAGAGAGAGAGAGAGAGAGAGAGAGAGAGAGAGAGAGAGAATTACGCGTCTTCTTTATCCTTAATTAGTTTTAGAAATTCGTTAGATTAATTTAGTTTTATTATTATTATTATTATTATTATTTGATGAGAAAAATTATTTCGAGTCGAAACAAGTTAGCTCGTTATATTATATAAAAAGGGAGAGAAAAATTATGTAAGAGGGTCTTATATAATTTTAGAAAAATTCTAAACATTTTTCACGCTTCGTCCAAATAATAAGAAATAAAAGTGTGCACGCAATTCGATAATCAAGTTCAAACACACACATATGTATGTATACACACATACATATATACACACGACGATACAGTTCGTTTCTCCGTAGAAAACGAAAGGAAGAGAGCAAGAAGCGACCCTGTCGCTTGTAATTAAACCGAACGTGGCTACTTTCTATCGGTAGTAAGAAATAAAAAAAGAAAGAAGAGAAAAAAGAAGAACCGGCCTTCCAACACGGAGACATGGAGCAAAGAACGATGAGCATGAAATTCTCGGTTAGTCAGGAAGGCCCCCGGCGATGCGTTTCACAAGAAGATATATACGATTGTACAGACTGATTCTGAAATCGAGATACAACGTAGGTGAAAAGTAAGAGATAGGTGCTTTTGAGTGGAAAGAATCAGAAAGAGACGACTCGTTGTGTATCCTAACTTAATTGGTATTGAGAGAATCTTTATTGGATGGGAATCAATAAAATACTCGTTGTCCTCTAAAATCAATTTTATCTTCTAAAAGTAATGAAAGAAGAAGAGAAAAAGTGCAAAGAAAGATATATTTCTCTTCATAAATAATAAAATCATTCAAAAGTTAAAATTTTTGGAAACTATCCAATTTTATACAGGCTATTAATTGTCAAATTTACTAGAAAATTGATGAATATTAAATTCTATTAAAATTAACAGTCGATCCTTTGGTTACTCGATAAAAAAAGGAATTAAAAATTTGGTCGATTAAAATTAAATTTCAATTCTTGCTTGACCGGTAAAATAATTTACTGTCAAAACGTTCCAAAATAAAGAAATCGGTAATGGAATACCGCAAACCAGCCTACCGTTATGGTTTCGATCGTGGCGAGGAAGTGGTAGGGCCTGCGGTGTGGCGTTTGCCAACACACGGCCGTGGAAAGGGGATAGCACCGTTAATGGTCGTACCGAGAAACCTTCCTCGTGGTTGAAATGCCGCTGCTGCACGGAAGGACGGCACGCCGACACTCCTTTTCTCGGCCATGAAAGTAAAAGTTCGCTCGTGGCGCTCCCAGCGGCGAGAAAAAGAAGGAAAATGGAGCAGGAAGGACGGACCGCTCGCGCCTCGCCACGTTCGCTCTTCGATACCTTTTTATTATTCTCGACTCGACTCTGACTTCCTCATCTCGTCGTAGGTGATCCTTCCTTAAACGTTTGTTTGCCAAACTGATTTATTTGTTTGCCTTTTCGTTTGTCCAACGAATTGACGAATTGACGAATGAAAGAGGAATATATAATAATAATAATAATACGGTATGGTAATTGAAGTTTAAAGGTGATGGTGTTGTGTTGTGTTGTGGTAAGGTTATGGATTTAAAGACGCTTCTTTGTTATGGTTTTAGTATTCGCACGAAGCGAGCGTTTATGGAAATTTTTCTGAACGTAAATAAACGAGGTAAACGAGAGAGGTTATGTCGTTTTTTATTGTAACGTGAAAAAAATTTTTTCCTCGTTAATTGGCGGGATTTTAAAATTTTATTGAAATATAGGAAATAAATTTTAGCGAATTTTCGATAATTTGCAATGTATACATAGGAAAAGAGATAAAGTGAATGGCCTTTATAATTCGTGACTATCGATTATATTTATTAATACTTAGAGTCATTAATTACATTTAAATATTCGATAATTCGACGAATACGAAAATATAAAGTATAAAATATAGAAATAACGTATCGATTGGTAATGTAAAACTTAAAACGTTGAAAAGAATTTCGTTAATATCGCGTTTCGTTTAAAGTTCTTCTTTTCTTTGTTCGAAACAACATTCCAAAAAAGATAATCAGAGAATTACTCAAAAGCATAAATAAATATTCGCCGTTTCCTCTCAACATGGTTCCTCTCTTTCTGGAATAAATTTTTGCGAGGTTTCGTAACGTGGAAGAGAAGAGAAATAGCTCGTATCTTCTCGTAATTCCGATTCACTTTCTATACGTTCAACCACATTCTCCGATTCGGCGAAAGGTATCACGTATAGTTCGATAATTACGATACGTACGCGGTGCAACGATCTCTTACGTTTCGTCAGATTGATGAGCTTTTAATCTTCTCGGTTTAAAGTTTTCTCCACGAGAAATTAGATCAAGTTTCTTTTCTTTGGAAAGAAAAAAACGTTGCGTAAGAATTCTGAAAAATGATCGCTACACTATTATTTTTTTCAAATACGTATTTTTACACACGTACGATACGCGTGAAACATAACCTAACTTTTTCTTTTTTTTTAATAAATTTATTTTTTTAATAAATATATTATTTGAAATACGTTAAGTTGAATTAATTAAATATAAATAAATATTTGTATATAATGTATAATGATATAATTCTTCTTTTAAATTTAAATTTAAATTAGATAAATTATTTCACGCTCTACGAAAAGTAACATCTTTTTTTCATCAAGAAGTTGCAGTAACTTAACCGTGACGAGTTCCATTATAAATTCAATGAAGCAAGCGACCTTCTATATCTCCAGTAGATAGAAAAATTGAGTGAGGAGAGTGAATTAGGTAATTACATTGAACCTAACGAAACTGTCACGTTACCTTGAATGAAAAGTAACGTTGGCTTCTGTTGCACAATTAATCACGTGAAAGTGACGAATCGACGCGGTTCGACGCCATTTATTATTCTTCAAACGTGTTCAATCGGCTGCGAATAATTACTTTTTAATCGCGCATTTAACAAACTTATTTTTATCACTCGATTATATTTAATTACGTGTACTTTAATGCAAGTTTCTTTTCACGATAATTTACATAAACACTTATTTTTAATATTTTAAATTTTCTTAAACATTTTAATGACTAATGGAAACGAAATTATCATAAACGGTGATATTTTTTTTTTTATATATATATTATAATTAAATGCGAGAAAGAAGATGGTTAATAAAGATCAATATGCAAAAATCGTTATGATGGGTATATATCCAAGTTTCTACTACTATAAAATTAATGAGAATAGATAGGGAAGCTCACCTAGCCTTCGTTTGATAGGTAAATCTTTCGGCCTCGATTCCTGCACGTGCTCTTGCCTGTAAATCGTGATCTATCCCATATAGATAATCTGTGGATGAAAAACAAATTTACAAGGATATCCTTAATACCATGGAAAAAAGGAAAAAATATTCGAACGAAAACGTTTAATGCAAAATAAATTTATTTTTAAATTTTTTTAATTATTTACTATCTTTCTTATTTTTTTGATTGTAAAGATTATTAATTAGCGCGTTAGCACGCGACACAAAGGATGATTACATTAACAAGTTCCTTAATACTAACGAGATATTCTTTCCAAGTCGAAGCTTGTGATGTAACCATGCAACATCATCAACAATAACAACAACAACAACAACGATCGATTTTCGATACAGCGTGAGAGGAATCTCACTATTGTCCTCGATCGTTGCCCTCAAAATTGTAACAGTTACATAACATTTTTTTTTCTTTTTACATCGATTGAAAAAATACAAAAACATTGATTTTGCCACAACACGTGTGGCAAAGATATTCCTTGAACTTTGAAAATTGAGGAATTTTTGAGAAATTCCAAAATTTTGCACAATTGAAGGCCAAATTCTTTACCGGGATCGTATGCAAATCGGAAATTTAAGTAGCGAAATTTAGTAATCAATAAGTAAGGATTGATTAAAATTCATAATTTTAAAAGTGTAAAAATCAACATTTATATATTTGATCAAGATTTTTCGGAAAAATTTCCATTTTCATTATCAGATTTTAAATTATTAACAAGACATAGTAGAATATTATGCAAATATTTAAAACAGTCTATAAATATTCATTCATTGTTATTCATTTTACATAATATAATTGCTACTAAAAAATTTCTACTCGCCTGAAATATCGAATTGATGAACTGTCGTCGACGCGATCGCTACTAGCGCCGTAAAAGTTACGATCGACAGTAATCCCAAACTGCATCTGAAAACGAAAAAAAGGAATTCCGATTAGTTTTCAATTTAATTTGAAGCAACGCTAAAGATATTCAAATAAATCATATTAAAAAAACTCTACCATTAAATTTACATACGAAAAATTCAATAATTTTTAATATACAAATTTAATTATTATTTTTTTTTAACTTTCCTTCAATTTCTCGACAAAAATTCTTCTGAAAATGCAACAGATACGTAAAATTAGTTACAAGAGAAATACTTTTGTAGATGCTTGGGGAAACGAAGGTGAATGAATTCGTATATTTGAATTTGCGTGTAATTTCCGTAAAGCGATAAAAAAAATATTTCTTTCCATTCATCGACGTTCTCCATAGATAAGGGAAGTGGCCTACTTACCAACCGAGTCATACGCGTAGTCACAACTATATAATTTTAACAATATCGCTTTTACCATATAACTCGAAATGACGCGATTCTCGTCATTCGGCGAATGCTTCCAGATATCTTTAAAATCGTCGGTATGCGAGTTCACGAATGTTGTCGTCGTCGCTGAACGTCGCATACTTTCTCTGCGGGAGCAGGAGGGATTCCGCTGGAGAAGGATAGACAGACGGAGAAAGGAGGATAGAGATAGACACGGAAAGAGAGAAAGGTGTATACATACATATATATAAAAGATCAAGAGCAGCAGTTGGTTCGTTCGAAGTTCTCTTGCGAAAAATTTTTCTTTCTCGATTATATTGCCATTCGAATCTCGCGTTACGCGTCGAAAACTTTTATATTTACAACCTTTCCCTCTCGTCCCGTGGTAATAATACCGTATTGCGAATATATTGCACTAATAATTCTTACGACGGACGTGAAGTTTCTTTCATTCACGTGGACGAAACGCGCACGATCTTCCGTGGAAGAAAAAGAAAAAGAAGAAGAGGAGGAGGAATCCTTTTATCCTTGGTGAAATTTTTCGATTTCGGACCAAGATCTCTTAATCTTATAATTTTTTAATCGATCAACGAATTATAACAAGTACGAAATATAACATTCGTTTCGATCGAATGAAAGTGTTTGTTATAAAGATTAAACAAAGATTTTTTTAAAATGTTATCGTTAATCTGGAAAAAGACATTAAGGTATATTTTTTTTTTTAGTTTTGCAACTTTTGTTTCTTCCAATTTGTTTTTCTTTCCTCTCGAATTATTTAAAATTGGCGCCATAAATTTGAATCGGAAGAAAGTTAAAAAGTCGATCGATTTATTAATAACAACGAACGGAGGAGGATTATCAGAAGACAAAGGAGAGAACGGAGAGTTGAGAACGACTGAATTAATCGGAATTTTTTCGAAAGTGAGCCGGGTGTGTGGGTGAGTAGGATCGAGAAGGATCTCGAGAAAGAGAGAGAGAGAGAGAGACGTCGATTACTTCGTAATCGTTGACCTTTCATACCATAAATCGCGTCGAATAGGTATTTCGTTATTCTCATTTCTTAACATCTTTCGCGCATTCCTTTTTCGCTTGAACGCTCGTAAAAATAGACGAACCTTCCCGACTTTTACAATATTTCTTCTAATCCTTTTCCATTCAAATTTTTCTTCCTTTCCTTTTTTTTT